TTAATACCTAACTCCTATCCTCAGGAAAATTCAGACTTGCCAGAGGAATTCACCTCTGAATAAATAGAGCTTTAGCTTAAAGAGGGGAAGGGGGACTCTGGAAAATTAAAAAGGAGGAGAAGAGAAATGAACGAAACCCAACGTGGCTGGACTACGCCTTTGTTTAAAGGACAGTCTGTGGCGTGCGTGCTCACTCCTGCTGCCCAGAGTTGCCCCGCAAGCTCAGTTGGCCTTCTTGCCCTTCTCCTAGGAGGACCTTCAAGAACACGATGATGACCCAGTACTTCCAGAGCCTGTGACTCATTCTGAAAAAGTCTACAGGACGCTTGCTGCCAAAGAAATTGTAAACATGACAAAAATGGAGGTCTGAGGTTGTGGCACTAATTCTAAAGCAGTCATCCAGAAGATCCAGAAAATGCTGATGGTATTTTCAACAGATTATAAGCAACATGAAAACAAAATTTAAAATGGTCTCACAGAACTTTGAGACCTTTATAAAGGGACAGCAGCCCTTGTTTTGAGAAAATATCATTCCCCGTATTATCAGTGAATGAACTGGACCACCCAAAGCTTATTTGCTTCATGGCTGCAATGCATTTAAAGTAGTTTCTAGTGCAGACATCTACTCACTACACCCCATAAATAGCTTTAAGTGAAGTCAGAGATGCCTTTGATTATAAAGTATAGCATTATTTTACACACAAATAGGGAAGAAAAATGTTAACTAGAAACTGTTCATTTTAGAGATGTTAAACTATGAAAAGCAAAACAAACCCTGTGTCTTAGCATGGATGGGAAATCCCTCCCCTGTGCCGGGTGCTGCCTGAGAATACAGCGCTCATATAGGTGAGCCTTAGTATATGTATCTGATATTAACTCGGCCTACTTCCCACTACACTGTGGAGAGATTTAAACACGATTCGGTTGCAGTACTTAACATGCGCCTAACGCTTATTAGCTGTCTTCTTCCTGCTGTTACTAAAAATCTGGCAAGGGCAAAACCATGAATTTAACAAATATTAGATGGTTTCTTTAATGTGAATGAGTTCACCTAGTCTCAGTTGCCAAACCTTTAAACGTTGCCTCCTCAGTGTCACGGCTCTAGAAATAAAATGAAACAATCTTCTAAAATGGAGTCAAAGCATCTTCTAAAACTGAAGAATCCGCCAGAGCCCTAAGGAGCGGGTGACTCAAACACAATGGGTGAGAGTTTGCATACTGCTTTGCATGACATTTGCATGCTACCAGTTCATTTTTACTTGAAGTGAAAATCCGCCCACCATCTGGTTCTTTCCTAGTCCCTTATGATCCCTTAGGTGTTGAGTTGGCTGCCTTTGCCTGGGAAAAAATAAAGCAATTGGCGTGCATTAAGTAGTTATCGCCTGAGACCCCAAGGGCTGCTTACCCCGGCTGAGGGGAGAAGAAGGGCACATCTGCGCCAGGCTGCGGACCTGGCACCACTGTGAGCATCCTGCACGGAGGGTGGTCGCTGGCTCAAACGCCAGAGAGCCACAAAATAGCCTCAGCCTTCACCTGAATACAACCCCCATCACACACGGACCGAACGGGACTATGACATGATTCACAGCTAAGTGGCTTAGAAAACTGTTCCTGGCCACCAGCAGCTTCCATATCAAACCAATGCAAAGCTTCTCTTTTCCTGAGTGTGAGTGATTATGCCATGGTGAACCTAGGACAAGGATTTGCTTTTGCTTTCAAAACTGTCAAGATTTAAAGTAAACATACAGCAGCCCATATCTGGCAATAAAGAACAAAAATTAGCACTTAATTAATTAGGGCGCTGTTGCTAGAATCCTCTGTCAGCTCTAATCATTTGTTGAAACTGAGCCCTTGATTTGTGATTACATAAGTGATAATGGACCTACACTTGCGGAGATCCAGTCAGAGTTCACTGAATTGCTGTTTCTTGGGAATAACTGACTATTTTTGTAAACTCAAATGCCTGTAATAATTATTAGTATGCAAACTAGGCAATGATCCTATGTAAGATGATATGAAGTATCTATTATTCATACAAGAACTGAAAATAGCAACTTAATGAGTAAGTGTCCTCTAAGTTATCCTTTGGATGGTGCATACAAATACCAGCTCATATTTCTCTTAGCTTTCTATGTGACATATGACCCTAAGTGAACAGCAAACCCAACCAATCAGCCATAAAAACCCAAATTCATATCCGGATACTGGGGCCAGGATACTATAAACGTAATTAAGCTTATTAGGTTTTAGCGATGCTATTTTGTCATAATTTTTTTCTTTCGGTGCTTTACAGCTTTAATAAGGATAAAAGGCTTTTTAAATTATTGGAAATAACATGTATAAACTCATGTTTTTTATGGACACTCAGAAACATGGGAACCTCAGTTATACTAAAATTTCAAACAGTGACTCTAAGTTAAAATAACCAAAAGAATGCCCTTTATAGCACCACTTCACTTTTCAAAAGTGTCACTCTTCATAGGCTAATTGTTAGAATGCCAGAAATTTTAGAAATTACTTAGTTCAATGCCCACCACCATTTATACAGATGAAGAAATTGAGATCTGGTCTAGAAATACTTTAAAAAAAAAAAAAAAGCAAGAGTCTAGAAGGTGAGTACTTGGGACTGGCAGGTGCTGGACAGGGGACTGGAGCTTCTGGGAAGTAGGATCAGACGGCCTGGCTGGGTGGGTGGTCCCGCTGAGGAGCTTAAGGCTTTGAAGAAAACCACATTCCGAAATGAGAAAACGGAGCTGGGGAGAAACTGCATCTATAAAAAGAATAACCAAACATAAAGATATTCTGGGACAGAAGTTGGGTTACCTCCTGAGTGCAGGGTCACCTGGGATGAGGGGTGGGTCCCTCTCTAGCAGGCAAAGTCCTCAGGCACCAACCTAGTCCCTGGAAGGGTTAGGAAAGCAAACTCACTTCAAAGGACAGAGAACGAGAGGTAACTACAAAAGGTGCATATAAGCGCAGCAGCTGAATCACCGATTCCGTCTTACTTAGGCCAGAGGACAATCATCTGTTTATCTAGTCATCTGCCTCCCAAAAAGCTCAAGATCCAGAACAGAACAAGAGCCAGAACAGACCCAGAAGCTGGCCCCTCAGTGTGTGTCTGCAAAGGACCCTGAAGACTGAGAGTTCCTCTTTTTCAGAAGCTCACACCCTGGGGCTGCGAAGAACAAAAGCAGCAGCCCCCACCTGGCCCGTGTCTGTGCCCTGGCTAACCTGCGTTCCTTGGGCAACGTGCCGCCTGGCTTTCAGCTGGGCTCCTCCAATGGGAAGCCCTTGCTAGGGATCGAGGGGCAGGAAGAGAGGGAAGTCAGAGTATTTCTTCTCACTCTCTCACTCCCGCAAAGGGCCCAGTCTCCTGGCTCCGCTGTAGCATTTTTTTGCAGCATTTGCTCCCGGGTCCCTGCAGGCTTAGAGTGGAAAATGCCTTTGTGGGCCTCACCGCCCCGGTCGGTTCCCTTTCATTTCTTCATTCAGTTGACCCTGACTCTAAGTTGGAGTCTATTTTTTGCCGGGACCCTGAAGCGACACTAGGGAAAGGAAGCCATGGGATAAACATGGTGTCTAAGATACAATTTTCCGCACAAACTGAGATATAGAGTAGAATAGAAATCCACATATACTCATTTTAAAAATAAACAGACCTCCAACAACATCAATCCGCAACTCCCAAATACTACTGCCTTGACAATCCACTCTCTTCTGGCCTGAAGACGTTCAGTGGCAGGCCTGGGAGAGGACGGTCCACTGGGGGAACGGAACCTCCCTCAGACCCTCAGACGCAGCCCCGCAGACCTGCTTTTAGGTGGAAGTACAGTCACGAGGGCCACGGATATGAGGCGGTCTGTAAGGTCACACCGTACCGCCTCGTGTGTAGTGGGCTATGCCATCTAGGTACGTGACAGTGCTCTCACGTGTGCATGATAACAAAACACCCAACACCACATTTCTCAGAACGTATCCCTGCTGTTAAGCAATGCGTGACTGTAAAATAAGGATGGATTCCTTGACTGCCTGAGGGAGTGGGTCTTCTGGGTTACACAGGCAGCTGCTACACCCTGATGGAGACAGGGAAGGGGAGAGGGGCGCGGGGACAGACTTCAAAGAGGGCTGGGGCTGGCAGGGTTGCCGAGAAGATGCACTCGACCGAGAGGAAGGAGACGGAGGAGCGGGAGTATCCTAAGATCGCAGCCTGTTCAAGGAGCTCCTCTGAGGACACTGTGGTTAGAGTCCACTACTTTGATTGATTTTAGAATAAAGAGCCAGTCTTTAGCGAAAGTTCTGCTATAAAGCCAACATCTTTTGTTACTAAATGGGCAGAGAAGTGTGTCATACATATTGGAACACTTTTCATAAAGTCTGTAATTTAAAAATTCCCGCACCTAACGTGAGGGCACATCAGTTATTTAAAATAATAATAAAACACTAGTTGATCTTATCCCTCATAACGCTGGATAGGTAAGGGTTAACCATAATCCCCTTACCTTGCATTCGAACCTGGAAGAGAGGACACAGCAGCTTCTAAGGGCATGTGCATAAAAGGAAACTCGTGGGCTTCTGGGAGGGGACAGTGCAAAGTCACTGAGCTGAAGTGGAACCAGCTGGGGAGTCCTCCCATGTCATCTCCAAACACCCACGTCATTCAAATTCCTTTCCTCCCTCCTCGTCTCTCTCACGTATGATGCCTCTGCTAAGCTTTCATTAAAATCAAGTTCTGGAGTCAAAAACCGTGCACACGCCACTGGTTTAGATGAATCACAGGTGTACAAATGAACTGCTACCATGGACAAGTAGAAGGCGGCCTTTGCCTCTTAATACCAGCCTGATGATTCTTTTTCAATGCATTCTTATTCAGATGGAGAAGACTTATCTTTATTAATACCTAATTCCATGTGCAATTATTTTATTTCTAGTCATTTAAAAAAAGACAAAAATTATCAAAAGGCAATAGAAATCGGTAAGAACCAGGAGGCTAATTGGCTTACCTGCTATCCCCAGCATTTGCCACATACAGCTTCCCCAAGAGGCAAATCACAATGAGGGCTGTGCAGCCACCAGATATATTATACAAACTCCTCTCTCGTTCTATTTGTAGGTCCTGGAGAAGAAAACAAAGTTAGTGCTGGATTGTAGAGGCACACGCATCAAAGATTTTCTTAGCATCACTCCCCAAGGGTCTGAATGTGCTTCACAGAAGAGAGAAGGAATCCTCAGAACTTGTTTTTCTACCACCTAATGAGCATTTCTGGAGAGGACACTGGCATAAAACTGTTGTCTGCCAGACCATCTGTGGACCAGAAACAGGAAACAAGGGATGGCAAACGGATACAATCAGGCAAAAACGAGCAGAATAAAACCAAATGTGTTCAATAAATATCATAGCTTATGGAAAATTTAGTCTTTGTATGGACTGCCTGAGCTGCCATGTGGAAGATACAATAGAGAGGCAGATAATGACAAGTACTTGGACCTGATCAATGTTTTTAACCCCAAAGTCTCCAACCAATAGTTCCTTTTACAGCTGGATGAGAGAAGTGACTGGAAGGACAGTGTCCTTTATTCAGTGCAGGCAGGAGTCAACCTCCTGTCTTACTGGTCAAAGACATAGGCTCCTGACCTCTGATCTGAATTCCTCCTGCCCACCAATCCACAGCAGCGATGTGCATGTGCAGTTAAGTAGCCTTTCTCAGAGCACACCCTCTATGGCAGGTCCTGCGCCAAGCACTTTACATGCACAATCTCATCTCGTCCTCATAACCACATTATTAACCTCACTGATCAGAGGCAGAGAAATGGAGTAGCCTGCCCATATTTACTTGGCTGGAGTTTGGATTCCAATTCAATTCTCTTCCTCCAAAGCCTATGTTATTACGTGCCACCTAATGAGGCCTTTGCAAGAAAATTAAAAACCCACACTTACACTGACAGATAGGCATCGTTCTCAAGACAGATGTCTTCATACAATTCTATGTCAGTGACAGAAGCAAGGGCTCTGTCACCTCAGAAAAGGCGAGTTGAATTAGGAAAAAATGCTAGCTAAAATAATTCCAAACATTCCAGTAGTAATGTCCTTGATGGGGCAGAGGGAGGGGGAACACAGGCTGGGTGACAAACAGAGAGAAGGAAGAAATGGTGCCCTGGCTGCTCCCAAGGGCACCAAAGGTGGACCCGGGGCCAGGGCACCTTTGTGATTCTTAGAAACCCACAGACTTAGAGCTCAGTGGCTTCGGCCAGCTCCTCATGGAAAGGGAGAGAGGACTGAGTAATCTGGCATTTCTTAGCAATTGCTTTAATGATTAATTGTAATACAATGTTAGGTAAATTGTTAATTGTCATACAATGTTCGATAAATCACCCACAGGAAACTGGAAACAACAGGACAGCCTGAGCTGAGGCTGGAGAACAGGAGCAGCAATTGGTTAAAAAGTAAGGAGAGGAAAAAGTACAAAGGCAGGCGCTGGGAGAAACTGCCTACTGGAAGGAAGTGGGGAAGGGGGAAGAGAGTGGGCGGGCTGAGGAGTCATGGGGAGGGTTAAGAATGTGTGTATGTGGGGTAGGATAGTTTAGAAACCAGTGAAGAAACATTCCAATAAGGGAGTGAGTGAAAACAGCATCAAAAGCTGCACAAGGCTCCACCATGTCTTCTCACAAGGCATTCCATATCAAGAGGTTCCTGGTCAAGAAACCAAAGCAGAGTCGGCCCACTGCCCAATGGATTCAGATGAAACCCGGGCAGAGATCCAAGAGGAGACGCTGGAGGAGAACGAAGCTGGGTCTCCAAGGAATCGCACACAAGAGATGGCTCACATACCCGCGCTCAAGCCGGGCTGCCTGCATCTCACCAGGTCACGGAAACAATCACGCTGTCAGGGCAGCTGGGCGTTTTCATTGGGAAATTATTGGAAGAATGATTTCCTCTCTGTTGACTTTTTCCTGCCCTAGTAGGATGGTTCAGTAGTAAATAGATAAAACCTTCTTTAAAAAAGCTGCACAAGGATCAAGCATGAAGACTACCTTCAAGGGCTATATTGGATTTCAGAAATTTAGTTAAACTGTATAAATTAGCTTTCTTAAAGGACTGTAGTGAGGATTAAATTAGACGGGGTGCGGGAGGGGCTTTCAGGCCATCTAGATCCTTCTTGCAGCCGGGAAACTCCACGACTGAGAGCAGAGGCCTGTCTTACTCACTGCTAGACGCTCGACGCCTACACCAGGCCATGTAAAAGGTCATTTAATAAATGTCTAGTAAGTGGGCAAATAAAGTCACACATTTAAAAATGCCTGGGTTTCAAAATGATTTCTGCACCATCTTACTTCTGCCAAAACATAAAAAATGTGTTCCACAATTCACAAATGAAAATCTTTCACTGCAAATCAATGCTCGCTGAGATGGTAAGTAAGCAGGAACCCATGCTTCAGTTAAAGCGAAGCCACATTACAAGAACAAATGCATGGTTCTCAGAAGCTGCACAGCTGGACATGAAGAAGGGGAGAGGCGCAGGCAGCCGCCCGGGAGAACTGTCACAAAGAAGGGAAAGACAGGAGAAAGAATCGGGCTGGGAGAAGTTTTGTCTGTTTAACCTCAAAACTATGTATGAGACAGAACCAATAATTCTATCCACAAAAAAGTTTGTGGGTAAATTTATTCATTTTTTTGCACTTAAATAAATAATATAAAGTTGATATGATGATAGATACATATTTTGTCGAATTAACATATAAATTGGTATGTAAAGTCCACATCCAATATTAGTTTTTAATATACTGGAAGGAACTGCTCTAGCTACAGAAACTATCCTTTCACATCCAGAATCAATATTTGTTTAAATACCTAAAGTCTGAATGAAAGACAATTTTTAGTGAAAATCCCCGAGCACCCAACTGCTTGCGCACTGTATGTGGATTGGAGTAGACGAATGATTCTCAACGGACCTAAATCACCGATGTGACCCAGAAGGGGGGTGATGCTATGATACACGGATTCCACGGCAAAGATGTCCTCTGGGACGCAAACAAGTTTATTCTCCAATGTATGGGCATTATCATAGTTCACATCACAAGAAAACCTGATTATAAAATTATGTAGTCCTTTTTTCAAAATCAAGGCAGCGTTCGACACTAAGATTTTCTGCTACGGCAAAGTTCATATTGGCCTTTAATTGTTGGGGAAACACTCCAGTTAGCTTGCCCACTTAGCCCGTGCAATTACATTAATAGAGATTCGATAGTTCTTTTTCTAGTTAATTTCATCATTTCTTTCATCTTTTCCAGTGTTTCAGATACTTTCCCTCTCCAGCTCCCCTAGCATGAGGAACGCTAAATGTGGCAGCACTTTCACATGAATAGCGAGCTAACATCTAGCTACATTTTATCCAGGAAACTTTGCTGATTTGTTCATGCTTTCAACCCTCACCCTCATTTGTGTGGTAACATATCTATGTACAAGCACAAGCACACATAGACTTTAACTCCATGTGTGCTCTCTGGAAATACAGCAGCAAGGATTTGAAAGCTGTGTTTCTATAAACTTTGTCACCCTGTAGGATTCACTGACATTAAAATACACTCTTCTGCTTCTCCTAAAACTGGGTGTAACTAGAACATATTCTAAAAATAATTGCTTCCCTCTTTCCTCCCTAGAAGCCAAAATAGCACACTGATATTTTTTCCTGCACCATCTATTCCTCTTTAAAAGATGTTTCACAAAATCTTAGTAGTGAAAGGAACATTAAAGGACCACCTAGATAGTTCTTTTACTATCAAGGCTAATGTGATAAATGAAGTCAATAAAGATATGTTTACCATTAAATCAACTACCCATTTTCTTCAAACTCTCAACTGCCCACTGCTTTTTGCTAAACAAGGATGAAATCTGGAATATTTCCTCATTTTAGCCAAAACTATTTGACTAAACAATTTTAGCTAAAATGAGGAAATCAGTGAACTCCAAGACATAAATCTAGAAAAACTAGTAAAAAACATGCACATATCATCATTCCTTTTCAAGTATGGTCCAACCTTTTGGCATCTCTGGCACCACACTGGCAGAAAGAAGAGTTCTCTTGGGCCACACATTAAATCACTGCAACATGTGATCACAAAAAATATCTTATGATGTTTTAAGTAAATGTACGATTTTGTGTTGGGCTGCATTCACAGCCATTCTGGGTTACGTACAGCCTGCGGGCTGCAGGTCGGACACCCCCGAAAAAGGATCAACTTAAATGACCCGAGATTCAATTTACGAGATTCATCTGCTCAGTCAAGAGTCTTGCAGGCTTCTCCAGGCTACTTTCTACTTAGAAATACTGATTTATCCTGTGTTATGTCTGCCTAAATATTACACTTAACCTAGGTTTATCTGTAAATCAAAGCATGAATCCAATTTTTAAGACTTGGGGTTTTATTTTGCTCCTTTTTGTTGCAAGAAAGTGGGAGCAATAAAAGGGAGAAAGAGATGTGTATCAAATGAGAATAATTCAGCAGGGGAGAATTGCAAGACAGAAAATATTTTGCTCCAGATGGTTGTGATTTGGTTTAAAAGTCCCTGAGATGATACAACCCCAGGATCATCCTTTGTTTCCTACCAATTTCAGGTTGCAAAAGGAAAAGCAACATCAGACAGCACAAGGGAGGAAATGTTGGGTAGTTGCAATAGGACTTGGCAGCTCCCCCAGCTTCGTTAAAACATAGATCTGAACACGCTTCTAATAGTGTCAGTCACAAATAATAAGATTCTGCATGGTTTTAGTATCTGGGTCTGATTTCAGTTTATTTTGAGAATAAACCAATCTGTCAGCCAAGCAATGAGAAAGGGAAAAACAAGTACTGCCTAATACTGCCACCTGCTGGTGCTTAGTGGAATCATATGTTCATTCCTTGGAGAAACTTCCTGATACACCAAGAAACAAAGACAAAACTAAACCCTGGCTTAAATACAGGCAGACACGCAGGCCCACAACTTACCGTGAACTTGCAAATTTTTAAAACACTAGGATTTCTAAATTATAAATAAGCTTTGCACTCATTCTCCTTTTTCACGATATGGTTTTTTACCAACAAAGCCAAGCTGAGTGGTATTTCCAGGCATTTAGCCAGTAATAGGAAGAGATAGGGTAGTGTTACAAGCTAAAATACTGCCATTTCTCTCCTTCATAACAACCAAATTTCTAGAACATTTTTCACCATAGTGAGGAAATCTACACCTGCACTGAAAAGGAAATAAGAGAATTTTAAGACTCTCCTGCCTGTGTATACAGACCTCAAGTCCTATAGGCGGCCGGTTAAAGGCCAGTCGCTGCTAATTGGTTCTGACTCCCCAAAGGGCAAATGTCTCCTGCAACTAAACCAACAATGGAAGCGACTGAATGCTGACTGTTAGGGAGGACACTGAAATCAGGCCTTAGAAGTCATTTATTTTATTCACATCTGTCATCTTGGGCCAAACAACAATCTAAACACAATAAGTGACCAAATTTAGTTGCTGAAGTTGGTATTGTTACAACGCCTTGTCGGGAAACAACTGAAGTATGTCAAAAAGTTACGGAATTCTGGTCCTTTGGGAAGCTACCCATGGTTCATGTTCCAGAGTGGTCACAGGAAGGACGGGCTGGCTATGCCACCTTCTCACTGTGAAGGAAGACCCAAGACGAGATACAATAAGGGGCCTGCGGGGCAAAAACACCTCTGCCAGCACGCACAGTGTTTGAGGCCAAGGGTCAGACGTCACCTTCACCACAAGACACTGCTGTGCCGGGCAACCCGAGGACAGGAGAGGAAAGGAGAAGCAGTGTCCTCAAAGAAGCCTCCAGTACTTGATGAAACTGTAATCCCCTTGTTCAAAGCATTCTCCCCCCACTTCTGTTAGTCTATATTTTTGCCTAGTACATACGTTTCCCTGGAAATAAGTACTATTTATTCTGTCTTGATGTTTCTGAATCTTTTCAACTGATTGTCCCTCCCAGATAGATATTACCACCTACCACCCTACTTAATCCTACTAAAGATGTCAAAGTAAGTGAGATACTGTCCATCTCTATATTCATAGAATGTGTGACTAAAAATGGCCCTAAATATAAAATCTGATTTTTAACCTCTAGATGTCTATGGTGTCTAGAAAAACGCTGGTTATAAAACATTAGCTCAATCTATACTAGTGACTGAGAAGGGAAAGAGTGAGAGCGCGCGTGCACGAGAGAGGGGGGAATACAGAAATGTCATCAGTGAGACAAATGTCAGGCCCAGGTGCTGGGCCTGGGAAATTTTTAGGCATTAAACGTGACAGAGAGAGTAAGAAAACCACAAAGCTGAAATGCCTAAATCTTATTTAATACTGAGTTTTCTTATTACAGAGGATCAGAATGGCACAAAAACTGCAAGACCTAAAGAACATCTAGAAACAGGAAAGCTAAGACGTGTCTGACTATTGTGAGGAAAAAAAATTAGGAATGGCCTGGAAATTCCAAACTGGCCCGTCTCTGAAAGGCCTGAGGAGGAATCAGCAAGATCAGGCCAGTGAGGTAAGGAAATCAGCTGTGTGCTGCGCATTTCAAAAAACCAAAGTTTACCTTGACACAATGACTCATAAAGACCTAACACTGAGAGGGACAGGAAAGAAAAAGTACTTCATGAGGCGGCAATGGCCTTCCAGGCCATTAAATCAAGAGTACACTGTTTTATTTTCATGTTACGGCTTCTCAGTTTACCCCAAGCAATTTAATGGCTAAGTCATGGACTGTTTCTATGACACCAGAGTAAATTTTTTCTGAAGTTCCTGATGGGGGAAAAAAAGCATGTATCTCTGTAATTACTGTAAACATTGAGAGAGCATCCAAACAGGGACAGTCTGAGAGTACAAGGGGACAGTACTGAGGATTATTCAGGCCGAAAGCCATCAACTGGCTTAGCTGCTAGCAGGGCAGGAGGTAGGGCCACCCCACCAAATGCTATGAAAACCAAAGAAGAACGAGTATCTCATTTAATAAGGTCTTTTATTCACATCTGTCATCTTGGGCCAAACAACCACCTAAACACAGTAAGTGACCAAATTTATTGTGACTACATGGTGCCAAGTCCACGTGGGCCCCTGGAATGCTGGGGGCCACAGAGACAATCTGGGAAAAGCTCAAGTGTGAAGAGGAAGCTGAGGGGTAAGATGGATTAGAGAATAAGAGAAAGTCTTAAAGGCAAAAATTTATGATGGGGCGCACCAGGTCCTCCATAGATGGGTTCTAGACTGCCTCTCCATTGCACCTCACGCCACTCCATTGCCTCGGAAATCTACCTGCTCACCGTGGTGAACGTCAGCCTGCTGTCTGTTCTCTCTCATGTTCCTCAAGCAAAGAGTTTTCCTCTGCTCAGAACACTGTCAGCCTCCCAGGTTTTGTCTGCGTTACTCCTGCTTCCCCTACCCCCACCGAGCATCACTTCTGCAGGGAACCCTACGCTTTACTTTATCAGACTCCTACACCGCCCCGCGTTTCTCCTCTCAAGGTCCTTCCCATTTACATCGCACTTGTTTAATACCTCGCTTTGCTTAATTTGTTTGATGCTCTTTTCCCTGTTAGGCCTGGCATAGAGTTAGGTCTCCACAAAAACAGGGATGGGCAAAAGTAGGTTTACAGTTGTTCGAATGGAAACTAATACAATAATCAATAAATAATAATACAAGAATAAACTGTTTCATGTACTCACAACTGTACATCTAATTTTGCCCCACCCCTGTATTTACTGGTTGGATGAATTACACAAGCAAGTGAACCAATCTTGTTGCTGGCAATTAAGTTTCCAAGAAAAACTTCAAGTGATGAGTTGGCTAGTTGAAAGCTGAAAAAATACAGACAACAAAAATGAGCCTCTTTACTAAGTATTTTTCTAAATGGGTCCCTCATTTCAAGTACGGTCGTTACTAGTCAGCCTGAGCCATTAATGGGCAGAAAAGGCCACAGGCCCTGTGGCGGCCTGACTCGCTGCGGCGCTGGCCTCTGGGGGTGACACTGAGAACACAGCTGTTCCAGGGAAAGGAAAGCTGTCACGGCGCGAGCAATTACCGAAAAGTGAAAAACCCAAAGTTCCTTTTGTTTTTCCCTTTTCTCCCACTAGGGCTATAAGCAAATTGTCAAATTTTTACCTCAATTAAATATGAGCATTCTGAACACAGGTGTCTAGAAACACGTATTCGTAGCAGAGCTTCCATGGTGGCTGGAGGAGAGTTGGTATGATACGAAGCCTCAGCACAAGTCACTTTTACTACCTTGATTCCTTTTTTTCTAAACTATCTTTTCCAGCCTTCTGGTGTTTTTCTTCGGATTGAAGCCTACCAGACACTCCTGAGACACAGGCGCCTTTTAAATCACCTGCTACACAAGGGGTCAATATTGTCTGCATGACACGAGAGACACACCGGGACCAACGAAGGGATGCGTTCAACTGAGGAAAGGGTGTAAGTTTGAGGAGCAAATACATGAACTATTCTTGCCTTACAAACTCAGATGACACTCCATAATACTTTTCTTCTCTCGTTAGCACACGGCCCGATGTCAGGAGATCCTAGAATGTGCATAGTGTGTACACGTAATTCTGGGGAGATGTTTCTGGCTGCTCTTGATTCACTTAAAAGCTTGTCATCACCTTTTAATCTAAGTTTTAAGGGCATTACCGCCCACTCATCTTAAGTAAGTCTTTATACAATCTGTACATATCTTTACTTTACATCTGCCTGCAGGGTGCTACTGCTCAGAAGAGAAAAATCTATGGAACCTAAATCACTGCTTCAGGAGACAGCGATCTCAGGGAGAGACGGGGGTGGCGCAGAACCGAGCAGGAGCCCACTGTCCCTGTCTACTCTCACCAGGCAGAGGGACGGCAAGGGACGCGGAGCAGCTGCACTCTCTCCCTGAGTACATTCTCAGCAGTAAGGCTGACAGCGAAGGAGGCTGAATTCGTTGATCAGACACATTCAAATTTAAATGTACAAACAAATCCATGTTCCCAAGCAAAACAAACGGTTCTTGGATATTGGCCCATACGTCTTTAAAGCAGTGAGAACCACATTGCCAATCATGGTAAAATAGCTGTTCTCAGATCGGATTTGTAAAAAGGGGGTAATCTTCAGCGCTTTACTAAAAGCTCTGTTTCCCCAAACACCTGGAATCCATACACATGTATATATACCAGATGGCAGCCATGCTCATTTCAATTAAGTGGAATTGTACCAGCTGGCATCAGTATGAGTCTGCCGAAAGAGAAGCAGTAATGCATACATTTATTTAATAAGCCTACTGCCGCATGCACCATTCCTTGCTTTCATCTTTTTAATTTTGGCCAGTATGCGATGCCAGGAACTCCATCTTCCTGCCAGCTTCTATTAAGAACGGAAACCCTGTTTTTAAAGGGAGACATCACATTGAACCACGCAACAAGTGGACAGGTCAGAGACCTGCCTTACCAGGCAAGGAGCCTACAAGAGGCAACGGTTTAGTGTCAGAGACCTTCCTGCTCCTGTTGCCCTGGACTCTTCGGCCATACTTACCATTTCCTTGAACGCGCTCTCAAGAGCCCCAATGACCAGACACTCGTGTGGGATCTTCTTCTCCGTGAAGAAGCGCGTAGGTGGGGTGCTGGGGGAGCCGGGGGCCCCCACCCCACCGCGGAGCGAGGCGGCCCGGGTCAGCGTGCGGCCGCTGGCGGGGGTGTTCTCCGGCTCATCGCCCAGGCAGGTGGGCGGGAGGACAGCGGAGTTCTTCAGGATGTCCACGATGGCCTGCAGCTGCTCCGTGACGTGGTGCTGCAGCAGGCGGGACGCCACCACCGCGGCCCCGGACCCTGCGTGGCCATCAAACAGCGACCAATAGTGGCAGGAAATGCCTTCTGATTCCTGGGGGGAGAGAGGGACAGGGAGAAGTGAGACACAGTGGTCCCTGACCCCGTGTGACACTGACGAGGCCAGGCCGCAGGGGTGCAGCACACCCGCCTGGCTGTCTGGCTTTGGTCTGCACTCAGAGGGGTCAAAACATGGCGAAGACATTCAGGAAAGGAGCCCCGTATTCGTCACTGCTGCTACCACCACCCAAGGCATGAAGTGGTCCCTGCTTCTCCACCTCGGGGGAGGGACCCCATTACCTTGTGCTCAGTTCCTCCCTGGGAGCCAAATCTACTTTAATTTGATGTGTAGTTGTTTGAGGTAAACTCCATATGGCCAGATGCCTGTTTAGAAATCCAGCTCTAACATCTAATCCTCATCTGGAGTTTTTGGAGAAAGGCCCTTGGGTTTGCAGGTTCTTCAAGGGGAAACAGGTGGATTCCTCTCCCCCTTTCTCAGGGCCCCTACATTCTCAGATAACTGCCCCATCTTCTTTGATCTACAGCCTGAATTTTTAGAACACATCCCTCCCCTAGACACCCAATACAGTCCCGGTTTCACAACACGCAGCCAATTCGTCTCTCCTCTTCCTGCCTCCTGCCTCCTGCCTCCCACAGCTGCCCCGCTGCCCCTCAGCATCTGTCTCTTCTTCCCGCCTCAAAGCTGCTCACACAGCCACGTGCGGCCCACCTTCCCTCACCGTCCATGGGTTTAGTACCTCCTGGTTCATTTCTAGACAATTTCAAGATGATCACGTTTAAAAACGCAGTTTGAATAGAATCACACATGCCTAAGATCTTAGCTATGGAAAAAAAGAGCTCGGTTATGATATATCTGTAGGAATAAAATATTAAATGCTGAGATTAAATAGGTAAGGTGTGTAGAACATCTGCTTCTGACTGCTAGCCTTATCCATCCTGCAACGATAAATACTGGATTCTCTTTTTTAGCTGAAGCCATTAAAGTTTTTTTGGTTCATCTTATTTTTTTAATTGAAGTACGTGTCATACAGCATTATGTGAACTTAAGGTGTACATTATGCTGATTTGATACATGTATATATTGCATATGATTACCATTACAGCAACAGTTAGCACCTCTATCATGTCATGTAATAATTTTTTTCTGTAGTTAGAATAATCAAGGTCTAATCCCTTAGCAAGTATGATTATTATAATACAGTATTGCTTCTATATTTACTACATTGTGTCTTATATCTCGTTGCAAATTTGCCCCTTAAACAACATCTCTCCTACCCTCCACCCTGGTAACCACCATTTTTGGTCTATCTTAGAACGATGCTGGAAGAGACTGTACAGGTATGGTGCCATATGCCATTACTCTGTGTGCTTTAAAACGTTTTCATTCAATTTTTTTAATTTTAATTTAATTTTATTTTTACTTACTGGTTTTAGAGAGGGAGAGGCAGGAGAAGGGGGGAAGAGAGAGACAGAGAGACATCAATGTGTTATTCTATTTATTTATGCATTCATTGGTTACTCCTTGTATGTTGCCCTGACCAGGGATCAAACCAACAACCGTGGTATATTGGGATGACACTCTAACCAAGAAAATACTGGCCAGGGCTTTTTCACTCATTCCCGTGCTAAGAGATAACATAGTGGGTTATTTTTCTTTGTTTGTTTTTTAGTCAACAAATATTTACTGAGTGCTCTCTACAGGACAGACACAACAAAGGCAGAAGGGAATAAACAACTGGATGAGAGCGATATCAGATGTGGTTTAACATTAATCCTGTGAAAGAGAGAGACACTGATTAGATAATCCCACACATAAACATGAGATCATAATTCTGGTGAGGGCTACAAGAGGGGGTTCCTGGTGCTGCGAGGCCAGCGTGCAAAGGGGCACAGCGGAGGCGGCTTCCTGAAGACACGAGGACCAGGCGAGGGCCGCGGGGAAGGACACAAGGTACAGAAAGGAGGGGAGAGAACGCCAGGCAGCACAAGAGCAGGAGCAATGTCCCTGTGGTAGGAAGGTGCCTGAGGGGTCCGCGGAGACTGAACCATGCTCGTGTGGCTCAACAGGGCAGAGGCGCAGGAATGGAGGCGGAGAGGGCAGACTTGAGAGGGAGGCGGCAGCTAGACCAGTCAGTCCTGCCGGGGCACATAAAAAACTCCTGCTTTAGCCTGTAAGTAACAAAAAGCTATTGACTGAGGTGGGAATGCCAAAGTTGATTCATGTTTTTAAAAGATTGCTCAAACTATGCTGCGAGGATGTGGAGGCAAGAAAGGAGTGTAAGTGGGGATCCCACCCTAACAAGACATTCAACCTAATTCAGACAGTAACAAGAAACACTTAGGAACAGATAAGCGTATCGTGACACAGGAATAATCCCTCTCAGTCAGAGGAAAATTACGTGGAAAAAAACCAAGGATTTAAGGATTAGAAGAAATGGCTCTAGCAGCATTTCCAGCACCAACCCACAGGAGGCAGGACAGGCACTAGACGCTGGGAGGGTCACTCTAGAGCCAGATGCCGCCGTGGCTTACCATCTCTATGCCATGCTTTCCCGTAAAATGCAGGCTATGGCCATCGTATGGGGGAGGGGGTGTTTGGGAGGGCTAGGCGGCCATCTATGCCGAGTGGCCAGCTCGGTAACACGGCATGCACCCACGTGCAGCTGCTGTCGTTGCCCCAGCAGTGTGGTCTTGGGTAAGTCACTTTCTGGGCTGTTCAGTTCTTCAGAAAAATGAGGGGCTGCCCTAGAAGACCCTGATGCTTCTGCTAACTCTGAAGGTTCTGTGTTTAAGAGTCTAGATCAGTGTGGGCTTGGGGATGCGGAAGAAGAAGTTGGGCTTAGAGGCTGAACACGTAGAATCCGGATGGGCTGAGAGGTGACATGGCAGCCGTGGAGAGGAGAGGGCCAGGAGGCCTAAATGATGCGGCCGACTCTGGCAGGTGCTCACCTGGTATCTACCCCTGCGTCTGCCTCGCGAGTCATTCTGTTTTGGGAGGCAACGTATCCACTGAAAATACTGCCCCAGACTCCCCGGCAGCTGTGGGTGGCGACAGCAACTTGTACTGCCCAGTGAGCTGCAAGTGGAAGTCTCCTGGGTGCAACTTCCAGAAAAGCTATTGTTTTGCTGATACAAAGGATAACAGTGCTGTGCCTTCCGTCCTTCCCCCTTTCTTCCTGCCTGGGTCCCAGAGGCAACACCTGCAGCTGAAGGAACCCTCTGGAAAAAAAATAGGCTGAAGCTGTAACTCCATGTGCTGGCGCAGGAGCCAGAAGGGCCTGGCTCTTGATGCCTGGCCTGGGATGCCACAGGCCCCGGACAGCCTACCGCTGGGCGTCCTGTCACGCAGGCTCCGTGACATTTTGATAAGCTGCTATTGTTAGATTCCGGAACAAGAGGTGGGGACATGGAGAAGAAAGGATACGCATGTTTAGATAGTGTCCTGGGATTAGCAGCCCGCATCACAGGAAGGAAGTGTGCGAGGTAAGTAGGGCACAAGCACAGGAAAGAATGGGAGGCAGGTACAAGTAGGTAGAACAAGACTGGACCCCCAGGAAAAGGCGCTTAATGTCACGTATCCTTGGACAGAATTCAGAGAGTCCCTGAATCTATATTTTCACAAACTTCTGAAATTTAGTATATCCTCCTATTATGATTGTGAGGCAACAAAGCACAATGGTATTAGCAATACCTGTGACTTGGCTGCCAACAGATATAAGGGATTGTCATTCCACACATCTTGATTTGTTTATGCTCATCGCTACCTGCAACGATAGCAGCAGTTATTAAACCCCTGGCTTTTGGCATCTGTTGCATGAATAAAGTACATGTTGTCACATAAGACATCCTCATAACTAGGGAAAAGCGGCAAAAGGAACAGAATTCTTGATTGTCTCATTTAACTCCCCAAAGGGTCCAGACCGCCTGAGGAACCCCCTCCCCCCCACACAGTCCTTCTGCGCCTGATTTAAATGAAATCCCAGCAAAAGTCCGAGGAGGCTGGGCAGGGCAGGCGAGGGGCGGGAGAGGAGCAACTGTCTCAGGGTCCAGGCACAGAGCCTGCTACACCGAAGGCCATCATGTGTCTAAAGCCATGATTTAAACCAAAGATCAAACTCCGTGGAAAATATAACAAACTGCACCGCCAATGGAATGCTACTGCACTTTATAAAAGCAACTCTGAAATTCTGACAAGTATTCCAACCATCTCCTTCAACAAGGCGGAGCGTTTTGCAGCAGCTACCACAACCACCACCAGGTGACAGCCTATCTGGGGAACTCCCACACAGCCAGGGGGAAGCCTGGCTGGGGGACTTCTGAGAAGCCCTCTGCACTGTGGTGCTATAAACTCAGGTACAGCTAATGTTTAAAATGTAATTAATTTTCACAGCTAAAACTTGTAAAGCAGTTTTTTTCATAGAGAAGTGTGTTTCTGATGGAACATTCTAGCACTGGTTGATGAGGGGGCCAAGCTTGGGACCAATTAAGTATCTCTGAAGGTAGGGTCCCACCCTTGATCCTTTTTAAACCCCTGCCACCCCCATCAGGGGACTGTAACAAGCAGCCAAGTTGGAAAGTCCTTTTACCATGGGAAGGGGCTGCTACGCAATCAGGGGACCCACGCTCGAGCCCCAAATCTGCCACTGGTTCCCTGTGTGTCCTAGGATAAGCCACTTACATCTCCCTGAACGGACCAGACAGGCAGTGTCCAAACTGTGTTCCTGGCTCTGATGTGGTGCCTTAGGAAAGAGGACGTTAAGTGCATGTTTAAGTGATGAGTTCCTTTGACAATTATTTCAACCTTAGCAGCACAATTTTATCAGTTATAAACATGAGGGTTTTGCAAAAGATTTTGGACTAAAAGATACAACTGTTTAAAAAAAAAACACAAAAGCCCGTGAACTAGATAAAACCAAGCCCATGAGGAGATTTCAAAAATCTTCAGTGTCCCCCTATGGCTGGGAACTTAAAAGTGAGTGATACACTCACTATTTGGGGAAATGCAACCACAAAGCAGGCTCTTACCACACACTT